ACAAAGTCTAAACGTCATGGCAAGGAAAGTGGTAAGTATGGGGCTATACGTCTTTGCAGTAACCATAGCGGCTATAACACTGCCCACCACGAAAGCCCACTCTGTTAAATGTCAGGCAGATCACTGCCAATCTAGCTGTGGCTGAAGGTGCTACAGAGGCACAATAGAGGTAAATGAAAAAAGAATTTATAAAGTGGTGGTAGATCATTTTCGAAGGCTGTTGATTGCGGTTAGAAATAAGTTTCATTATCATTTGGGAGAGTTATTGCAGAGAACAGCACAGAACTCTGGTCATGTCTTCAAAAATAAACAATCTGAATTGGTTAAATAAAATCCAGACACAAGAAGACAATTTACTGACTGTGAATTGCTAAAAGCCTGGGGATTAGTCAAAGATAACTCTCGTTTACCAAATGTGTTTAACAGGACAAGAGTGCTTGCAGAAGATTGTTTTGTGGTATACTAATTGTGTATTTTATTTCGAAAATTGAATACGGAGATGCTATTAAGTAATAAGAACCGTCCACAATACAAACTGTCAGCTTTGCCAAGTAAAACTAAAATAGCTTGCTGCTTCTGAAACCAAATAGTCATTTGCAATATAAACCAGTGTACACGATCTGAGCTTTTCTCAAGATTTTTTCTTAAATCCAAACCAGGAAAATAAATCTCAGCTCTAGCCTTGATGAGACTCAAAACACGCACCAGCTCAACCAGCTTATCTAGTTTCATGGAGCAAGCCCCAGTGCAAAAACCTGGCCTGTGCAATTAGTTGAAGGATGCCAGCTGCTTGGGAAGCATTGGGAGATGGACCCCAACCCCTTCCCACACCATCACTGCTGACTTGCTGAGTGAGCCTGGACATGCGACAGGGACAAGGGAGCTCTCAGGGTCTATATTCCACCCGCTTATTTGTCCTGCCCAGTTCAGTCGTGCTCTTGGAAACAATAAGTACCTTTTCCTACCGCAGCCTATGGACAGACAACCTCTGCCACAACAGGGAGGCGCTACTGCAGTTGCAGTTAACCTTAGCCTCATTTCATTGCCAAAGCTTGCAGTGGTGGGACTCTGATGACCGAATTACCCCAGTGTACATTTTTTGTCAGTAGGTTGAGCCTCAGAAGAATAACAAAGAGAACCAGCTACCAGCCCACAGTCAGAAACGTGTTGCTTTTCCCAGCACTCAGGCTTAGACACATTTTTTCCTCCTATCGAGCGCTCCTTTCCTGTGCCAGGACTCCTGTTGCAGCCACGGTGCAGGGAAGCACCAAGCAGCAGGAACACAGCTGATGGAGCTGGAGGGTAGGACGCATAGAGGACAACTTCACACTGCACTTGCTCACCCTTGTTTTGGCCACCCACAGTCAAGCAATACCAAGACTATTTTTGCTTCTGGTTGTGTTATATGTAAAACTAAACCAGCAGATTTGTGCTCCTGTTCTGCACACATATGAAAATGATAGCAAAAAAATCATTAGTGTATGCACTTCTTACATGAATGAAGCTCCTCATGACCTTAAAGCCACCCACTGGGCTGGCAGGCCTAGAAGTTTAAGGGGTTGAGCATTTCTTTCAGGTGACAGGCAGCCCTTTTCAGTCTTAATCAGCAGATATCCAGAGAGCTAACTCATAGACATAAAGCAAATCCACTTAGGGAATAAATGTCTAAATAAGTACGAGAGATGGGATGCTGATCTTTTAATGTTTCTCTGCAGGGTAAACAAAATTATGTTGATGGGTTTTTTTCCCTTCAATTCATTTATGGTATTCGTCTATTATTGCATGATAAAAAGACTCAGCATGCCTGGTCTTTCATCTGTCCCAGAGTGAGATGCTCCCCAGCTAAGCTGAGCACTAACGAGAAGGCAGGCAGGCACATAAAGCCATGGTACTCATCAGCTGGAAGTGCATATAACCCAGGGATAAGTCAACTGCCTATCTGATGTCCATTTGGTGGAGAAAGAGGACAATTATTGCAATAGAGACTGTGAAAAAATGGAGCAGACTGGAGGAATGTCATCTTGCATGATGAGTTCACCATAGAATGGGCTGGGTTGGAAGGGACTTTAAAGATCATCAGGCTCCAAACCCCCTGCTGTTGACAGGGACACTTCCCACTAGACAGGTTACTCAAAGCCCCATCCAACCTGGCCTTGAACACCTCCAGGGATGGGGCACCCACAGCTTCTCTGGGCAACCTGTTCCAGTGCCTCACAGCAAAGAATTTCTTCCTAATATCGAATCTAAATCTACCCTCTTCCAGTTTAAAACCATTACCCCTCGTCCTGTCACTACAGTCCCTGAGAAAGAGGTCCTCCCCACCTTTCCTGTAGGCCCCCTTTAGGTACTGGGAGGCTGCTATAAGGTGTCCCCGAAGCCTTCTCTTCTCCCGGCTGAACAACCCCAACTCTCTCAGCCTGTCTTCAGAGGGTAAGTGCTCCAGCCCCCTGATCTTTGTGTCCCTCCTCTGGACTCGTCCCAACAGATCCACATCCTTCTTATGTTGGGAGCTCCAGAGCTGGACACAGTACTCCAGGTGGGGTCTCACTTGTCCCTGGTCTCCACTTGGACGTTGAGCTGCTGACCACAACTCCTCGAGTGCGACCATCCAGCCAAATCCTTATCCAAGTGGTCCACTGTCAAATCCATGTCTCTCCAATTTAGAGACAATAACGTTGTGCCAGACAGTGTCAAAATTTATTTAACTCCAAGAGAGACAAATAGCCTTTCTTTTAGTTATCTCCCATCTGCCACCTTCATTTGGCCATTAAAACAATTTTTAAAATGGTAACACAAGCAATACTGCCTAACTAATGAATGTTGAATTATCAGCATAAATATGCCAACATTTATTTATTTATTTGCCTCACCAAGAACATGTTCTCCTCTGTTTGGTTTTCTGTTTTAATGACTACAATTTATCATATTAACTACACTTCCAGTTCACTGGGTTTTGTTTCAAGTTCTGCTTTTTACTGAGACATGTGCAAGAGAGCAGTCTCAGGTAAGAGAAGTAATAAAACTAATAAAAAAGCGATAGTAACAGTCATCAAAAAGCACAAGTGACCGAACCACCTTCATTTACTACACAGGGCCCTTCTTTCTTCCTCTCATTTACTGATTTTACTGCAAACTTTCAACCAGTATTTTACTCTGCTTATAGCAGCCCTCCGCAAAGAATGTTAATTCCCTGATTTCCAAATAATTTGCTTCCCCTACCAACCAGCAGGCAGCCTAAGTAGGAAGGAAAGCCAAAGCAGGAGAACCATCTATGATGAATTCAAGCCTTGCACAATAGCCCAGTCAGGAGTTTCAGGAGGCATTTGAAACTCCAGTGATGCCTGAATCAGTGCAGGGATTCTTCCTGCGCAGGAGGTATCTATCTGCTGCCTGTCTAACGTGGTGGGAAACCAGTTAGTCCAGCTGCACCAAGGCTGTATCTATTTCAGAGCACAAGCATATGTGTTTTGCCCACCTGTTACAACTGTGAAATGTATAGATAGCATTTACTTCCTAGGCATTCGTCGCTCAAATTAACAGGCAACCTGTTAGTCTGGGTGCAATTAGCACCCCAAACTTTACTCCAGACGTATTTGGTAGCTGAAATTTGCTTGCAGATCTTTAAGCAGCCTGGTGTACACTTGGAGTAAATACAGGCCAACATATAGAGTGGAAATCCTGTGAAATCCCCAACAAATGTAACGTGAAGCAAAGCTAAACACGCTGTTGGAGAATCTGCTCTGCCTTTATTAGAAACCATAATGGAATGCTCACAATTTTACAAACTGAAATTGAGCACTAGGTTCACCCGAGACCCGGCAAACCCAATGGCAGTGTAACACAACCTGCCAGGGCTGACTCCTGCCGCCCTCTTCCTGCTGTCGGATTTAAACCTGCCGCTCCCCCTACGTGCTTTTCATGAAAATGCCAGTTACATACAGACACACATCTTGAAAAATGACATGAGCGTTTTGCAGAAGTATATGCGAGCAATACCATATGATATGAGCGGTGTAAACCCTTATCTGTGTCATGGCTTGACTACTTCTATTGCAGAACATGACCAGCACAGCCTGCAACCACACTGCCACAGGCAGCCTTTTCTACTGTGGCCCTCATACCCACATAGTAGTTTCTTCCATGTTGCAGCCACATCATCTACAGCATCCTCACATGCCCACCTGAGTGCACTGGATCACTCCTTTGCAGATTATTTCTTCAAACATAACCAGTTTTGCAACAACAAATAACGATGGGCTTAAATTCTCTTAATTCAGCATTCTCTTTTCCTTCCTTGTGGTTGCTAGCATGTTAACAGGGAATGCACAAACCACACTGAAATGTTCCTACACAAATCCAAAGGCCAAAAGCTTGATATTTACTCGAAACAAGGAGGGCTGATGGAGTGCACAACCCAGTGCAGGTAGCACTGGTGGCAGGACCGCCTTCATCTATCACAGACTTCCTCTGGATGCTGGAGATTCAATTAGGCTCATAACTCCAGTCTCATACACAAAGAGGGTTTTATGTTCATTCAGCAATCACCTTTTTTCTCCTTTTTTTTAAATGCTCTACAAACGTTGCCCAGAGTTCTTCCCTTGCTTAGTCTATCAATCAGTCCATGTATAGCATTTTATTAGAATTAGCTTCTCCAAGCATCCAGTGCGTATCTGCATTATGCTCTGACCTTCCTAAACCCTGTCTTACCTGCTCCGTACCTGCAGGCAACACACAGTGATAGAGACCTGCAAGGTGTCACCTTTCTGTGTAGTGACATGGTTTTCTCCCCCAACTCATGGATAAATCTAAACGACGCATACTCAGAGCATCTGTCACAGCAATGGCATTGCTCTTGTTCTCTGCACATCTGTGACATTTTATTATCCTCTTATAATACTGCAGTGGAGCTGGTGGGAAAGAAACCTGTCCTTCCCCAGCCCAGTAACCATAGCTACTCCCCTAAACACAGAAGACAGAGGGAAGGAAAAAAGATTTCTTACCCGTAAGAAGGAGAGGTCTCGGTTGTGCTCAATGCTCGTGATTTCCAGGTTGCCCATAACTACCTCGCAGTTCTCATAGTACTTGCGCAGGGCCCGATACTGCTGCTCCAGGTCAGAGAGGGAGCTCAACTTGTTCTCGGTGCCAGCACACACTGCAAGAAACCACAGGACAAACAATCAGGATGAGTGTGGAAGAGGGGCACAGGAACAGAGAAGTAAAGTTTGTATACAGGGATACAAGTAATTGTAACAAAAATCCTGAATTATTCACGAGATTAGGTCCTGAAAAACAAACAAACAAAAAAAAAAAAACAAAAAACCACCAGCACAAATTACTTGAATATCAGCAGTTGTGATAGGAAGGTACAAACGTGGTCCGAGATCATCTCAGCAATTTAAGCACATCTCACCAAATGAAATGAAGTGCTGGTATTTACTACCAAATGCAGAAAGGCTGAAAAGGCAGAAATGCAGGAAAAATGCAAAACTAGTTGACCCCAGAACCTAAATAAGGGCCAAACCCAGGTCTCGGTGAAGTCACTGCTAGTTCTGCCAATGACAGAATTGAACACTGAACAGGGATGCGCCAATCACAGACTAAAGGACGTAAGCCTGGAGAGACCCATGCATCGAAGCTGCCCTGGGTATTCCAACATTTTCCCTATTCAGCTGATGCTCATAATGCTCTGTTGGACAAGCCAAGAGCAACCTGACCAGAAGGCTTATACGCGACGTTGTTTTCCCCATCACTTTCCTTAAGACCCCAGCCCTTCCCAGCTTTATGCAAATTAAATAGGAGAAAGACAATAGCAAAAAACACATTGTCTTTCCACAAGTCACCAGGTTGAATGGACAGTGGAGATGTGTCAGATGAGTTAGGAAACACCATCCTAATACAGTTAGTTTTCAGAAGATGCCCTTCAATATGATACTACTCTGTTCTAAAGTTTGATGTCCAGTTCAAAGCTACTGCAGAATCACAGCTCAGCTCAGTCTATTAGCTTGTCGCGCATCAAGCAATGACAAAAATTAATGTGGGGAAAAAAACCACAGAAGCAGCATTTTACAACAGCAGTTTTTCATGCAGCACTCAGCCTGCCAGAACAACGATGCTTCTTAAACGGTCAAGTGTAGGGCTGGGCTTTTTTTTTTTTTTGCTTGCACTTACTTTTCCTCTCTACCAACAGCTTGTGGGTTGTTCTTATCTGTGAGCAAATTAATCTGAATATATCCAAACTTTTGAAGTGGGCATTATATTATGCAAAACATGAGCCAGACCGGAATAGCATTTCTGGAGTCATTCCCATTCCTGGATTAAATCAATACAAACAAAACTCTCCATGACTGGAGGCATAATCAGTAAAATTGGCTAAAATATGCTCTTTTGAATGATGTGGGTCCTTTTTATAAATATCAAAAGTAATTAGGTTTTTGAGTACTACTATTATTGACTGTTTACTTACTACAGCCCCCCGCCCTTTTTTTTTTTTTTTTTTAATAGAAATGGAAACAATTCTCATCTCTGTTCTTCGCTGCGGTCTCTCTGCTGCAGAGCAATCTGCTCTTGTGCCAGGGTGATTCGAGTTTCAAGCAGCCTCTTGGCAAAGGGCTTCGGGAGGCAGCCAGAAACCCACAAACTGCTCAAAGTTTTCTCCCAAGGAAACTCCCTCTGCCCTAAAAATGGCAGCAGAAATCTGTTCCCTCCTGAACTGTAAACTCCCCACCAGGGAGGGACAGCAGCGGCTGGTTTCATGGTGAGCCATTCACAGGATGAAGGTTTTATTCACAGGATCAGGTTTATCAGGGTTTTGTGTTTCCAGCAGCTAAAGAGCACGGATCAGCGCTGAACAGGCACTACATAGGACTGCCTTTCCAAATACATGTCTGGTCTATATACCAAAGGAAATATTATAAAGGATGTAATTTTTTAATTTCTTTCTTTGGCCTGGTAGAAGTAAAACTTCAAAGTCCTTGTTAAGTTTAAAAACTTGAAATATTTGACATATATTCATTTGGTGAGGCCGCATCTGGAGTACTGCATCCAGTTCTGGGCTCCCCAGTTCAAGAAGGACAGGGAACTGCTGGAGAGGGTCCAGCAAAGGGCAACAAAGATGATTAGGGGATTGGAACATCTCTCATATGGAGAAAGGCTGAGGGACTTGGGTCTCTTTAGTCTAGAGAAAAGAAGATTGAGGGGAGATCTTATTAATAATTAGAAATACTTAATGGGAGGATGCCAGGGGGATGGGAGCAGTCTTTTTTCAGTGGTGCCCAGTGATAGGACGAGGGGTAATGGGCATAAACTTGAACATAGGAAGTTCCATCTTAACATGAGAAGGAACTTCTTTACTTTGAGGGTGGCAGAGCACTGGCACAGGCTGCCCAGAGAGGGGGTGGAGTCTCCCACTCTGGAGACATTCCAAACCCGCCTGGACGCTGTCCTGTGTGACCTGTTGTAGGTGACCCTGCTCTGGCAGGGGGGGTGGACTAGATGATCTCCAGAGGTCCCTTCCAACCCTGACCATTCTGTGATTCTGTGATACTGCGTTGCAGAAAACCAAAACCGGTTGGTTTGCCTGGGTTTTAAAATAAAAACTACCACCTCATTTCAAGGCTTAAATTAAAACACGAACATTCCCATTTTGAAAGTTTTCTTGTAAAACCTTACCACTTAGAGTAAAACATACCTAAACAAGATTATTTTAATAGCCATTTTGGGGGATTCCCAAGATGGAAAGACAAGGTCCCACTGGGACCTGACATAGCTCTGCTGGACTGGGAACACTTGGAAGGATTAACCACTGCTGCTAGGGGATGGCACATCTTTCTTTTTGAAATACAAAGCCCTGTTCTAGCTCATATTTAGAGTTTTATTCTGAACACCTCAAGATCTGCCGTACAAGCATCTCCACCCTTCAGGGAGACACAATGCCTGTCCCTCCTGGAAGACATCAAAAATCTTTGCTACCAATTACAGAATCGGTTTGTTTGCTTTTCCTTAAAAGCAGCAGCAGCATCTATAACAACAAGATTGACTGTGTTTCCAGCCGAATAAGTATTATTCTGTCTTAAGGCTCCCGAGGACTAATAAATAATTTCTGTTCCATTTTGCAATCAGTACTAAGGATCAACATAGCTGAGAAAACAATTCCAGCAGCTCAGCTAATAAAGCTATACACTACAACACTGGTATTTCATGTTGCACACCCATTAAATATTTCCCGAAAGCTAATTCAGCCATTTGTTGCTGTAAAGAGGCAGAACACCTGGAGCCTGCTCTTGCAAGAGGATTCAACGGGGCTGAAGACAGCCCAGATGTAAGCCAGGGCTGCAGATTTTATTCGCGTAAGATTAATTTTGTACAACCAAACCATTGCAGTAACTGCTCCCAGCTTTTGATAATGCTATGGAAATCAATTCTTAAAAGCAAACTTAGAAGAAATCATGTTGATCTTTTAAATTGATCTTAGAGCAATTTGAAGCATCTAATTTCTGTCTTAAAAAAAAAGAAATCCCCTCTGGTCCTCTGTTACACAAAACACCTCTGTGTTCCAGCTCACACCTCGGCCTCTGCTGCCTGCAAGATACCTGGCAAAAGGTCCACGCAACCCAGCCCACCACAGCCTGCTCCTGCTGCAAAATTTGGGAACCCAGGGAAGTCCCTGTCCAGCGTCAATACTTCCAACCATGGCTTGGCTTTTACAGCTCTGTACTGTACTGACAGGCCACCTCCCCTCATATAAAAATATGAAAAGAAATTGGTTACAAATTGCCTCAATTCAAGTAGTACACTGAAAGAGAGACTATCCTACATCAGTCAGGGATGCAGCAGTGCAGATTTTCTGCCATCAGTACCCGACCCGCAGAGCAGCTGAAGCAGAACCAGCACTTGGAGAAGGAGAGCCCCAACCTGGGGAGCAAGTTGAAGTTCCAAAGCAAATGTGGGTATAACCATGGGTCACTAATAATCCATTATTATAACAAGCCATTAATCTCTCTCTGACTCAGCTTTACATCATGAGTTTTGTACATATACTTTTCCTGCACCTAATAACCAAATTCAAAATACAAAAGAGAAAACTTGCAAGTATTTAAGAAAAGCAGATTAGATCAACTGTCACTTGCAGGAAGATAGAGCTGGGACAGTACCTCCATCCTTCGCAGAGTCCTTTAAAACACGGAGATATGCTGTTCATTTTTTTTAAGGCAAAATACAATTAACAGGGTAAAAAACCATTCTGGCCATAAGGGAGAAACACTGCTGCCATATACAATTACAAAGGAGCTCCTATTTGCCTGCACGTGCCAGGGAGCCAAACCTGGGAGGGACAGAGGCCAGAATGCAGGCTATGAACCGGTAGTTAACAGTGAGTTTTATCCCCCGTTTTGAGCCACAGGAGGCAATTCCCAGCTGCTCCAGGGCAAATATAATCATTTGGGGTCTGATTTGCCAAAAATAGTCAAGAAGCACTAAAGCATGTGAGGTGGGAGGTGAGCAAGGGTAGCACAGGATCCCCAGTCTGTCTGCCCCCAGGCTTGATGCAGAGCACGAACATATCCCTCTCACCCTCCTGTTCATCTCTTGGAACAACAACAGGCATCTATGTGTTGTAGCAGCTCTTTAAAATTAAGTGCCAAAATAATACATATTTTCAGGGATGCTCCAGCTGTATATAGGCACAAACATGAGCACAACAAAATGTATTTCCTTGTCATGCCATGCAAAACCACCATAATCTATATTTCATAAACTCTCTTCAAAGCCCTTTGTTGTATATTGTTAGACACATTACTTTATATAGCCCCAGAAACCAACAAGCAGCAAGAAAATAAAGACTGCACATTAAAAGCAGTCCCTGCAGCAGAACCTCTCCTGGTTAATAAAAACTACTAATTCTCCCACCTCTAACAGAGGTCAAAAAAGTAGCAGCTTCAAATGTGCCTCCAGTCTGCAGCTTCTCTCACTATCGAGCATCTCTGAGCACGTATACTCCCAGCTTGCTCAGGGGGTCTTACAGAGGCGTCTCAATGAGGGAAATTCTTCCGTACCATTTAAATGCACACCCAGGAAAATCTGACATCCCCTTACGTTTTCCCAGACAGAAACCCCAGCGAGCTGTTGACTGACAGTCTGTACCAAGTTACCAGCATG